CATTTAAATATTTTTCTGGTATTAGAGCATTAATATTGTATTATTGGTGTAAAATAATTAACATACCATCATGAGTTGTGACAAGTTGTAGAACTGTTCCGCTGTAAATTGATCACCAACACCTTTTTGCTCGCATATCTTTAGCATCGAGCAACCAGCTTGTAATCGCAACCAACTCATCTCTGCTTTACTTAAACGACCTTGCTGTAATAGATCTCCTTTGTTTACTACAAATGCATTCAACATTCTAAAGGTTTTTTGCGCAGAGAGTACATCAGTCTTCAAGCCCAATAACCAGCGTGCCATACATTTCAAACCTTCTAATCTACAACGTGTCTCTTCGGGTAATTGATCTTCTCTGCACCAGTCTCTGTCGATTGTGTCAGAAGTTTGTTCACTGCTTTCCTTCACTAATAGCTCTTTGACTATTTTTCTGGACACCATATTTTTTATTTGTACTTGATATTTTTCTGGTAAATTATAAGCTATATGACCTAACGTGACTATAGATGTTCGATAATATTCGGATGTTGGTGTTAGAGTATTTTTAATTCTCTCAATAATTTCAGGGAAAATGGTATCATGAATATTGGTCATATTAACAAATAAACACCTAACGGCCTGTTTTGCTTGTTTTGGTGTTCCCGTTTCCGCAAAGTTCTTGCATATCGTAACCATGAGGTTCATAATATCTGGCGCTACATCACATAAAGGTTTGTATTTTCCTAAGAATGTGAAAATTGAAAGAACCAATGGTGCCACCATTTCATCCTCTAATTCCAGTAGATGAACAAGTTGCATCAAAATGTCATTATGAAGAAAGTGTGGACCAAATACGAACGAAAGCATCACAAGTAACCTTAAACCTTTTTCACCCGCATTATTTGGATTGAGTCCAACTTCTTCTATTACATTACCTCCTTTTAAACAATCTAATACATATCCGATTAAAACCCTAATCGCTTCTTCGTCTATCATGACCGAACTGACTCTTTCCAACAACATTTTTATCGTGTTGTAGTACAAATTTGTCATGACAGGTTGACCTAATTTTTTGAGAACCATACTTATAGTATCTGCACATTCTTTACAAGAAACATTTGGCTGAACTATTGTTTCCATTCCTTGCAACAATGCTGAATCCTTTCTCATATGATTACTAAATTTCTGTAAGAATTCTTGCACTTTCATAGGATCTGGCAGAAAACGAGATATCTGATGAATTTTGGCCACCACTTCGACACTGGCATCTGTCTTTTTTACAATTTCTAACCACTCTACTACTGCTCGTCGCACAGCGAGCTGATGTTTTTGCAATTCAACGAATGCTTTGGATGCATGGTCATCGATTGTACCTAATAAATGATATAATTTCTTCATCCTCTCGCTAGCTGGCAACTGATAAGGTACTAAACAAGTGTTTAGTAACCGCTCCACTAATAATCTATCCTCCATGCCTGCCATATAATAGCCATGTAATATTTTGTCTTTTATCCAAGTGACAGCCTTTTTTGTAGCTTGCGGTACATCTGCATCGTTTAGATGCTTCTTGTATATCATTGCCAATCCTGCCATTGCTTCCTTTCTGATTTTAAACTTTTTGTCCAAGGTTCTTTCTTTAACAAATTCGAGTAAGTCCTCGCTGTCCGATACAACTTCGAAATCCCTTCTGGCAGTGGTTACTATAGCCATAACAACTTCGTATCTAACGCTTTCGTCCGCGTCGTGTTGTCTCATTTTTAAGGTATCAGTAATATCCTTTCTTAATTCAGGATGGTTCAGTAAAAAATGCATCGAGTATTGTACACACTTTATACGAATCGATACGCTGATGTCGTTAAATCTTCCTAAAAATGCACGCCATAGCTGTGTATGTTGTACAGCCAACTGCGATCCCTTCTCAGAAAACATTCTGGCTAATAACGCCACGGCGCCTAATCTTTCCGTTTCAGAGGATGATTTCAGTTTACACTCTAATTGTGGAAGGACGGACAGCAAGACGCTTGGACAAATGTGATTTAACTCGTAAATCAAATCATATACTTTCTTGCAAATTTGTAAGCTTTTCTCCTCTTTGCCCAAAATCAGTACATGATTAAAAAACTATAAATTTAATAACACGGAAAATATTACACCGTTACGTTTCTTTCCCTTATGTAATACATACAAAAACATACAGACAATCTCAATTTTATTCTACTTACTGCTTGAATATAAGGTTCCAATGTATCACTACATTTAATTACTAGTTCCTTTGCAAGCAAATACGCGTTCTTTTTTTGTGTTTTGTTTGGTTCAACGATATTCATGAGTATAATGTCCAGAAGTTCATTGCTAACAATGTCTGACTCCGTAATAAGCGGGCACAAAACATCTAACATAAAACTTTTTACTTTCCCAGAATGTTCGTCGCTGCAATTGTAACGATTGCGAAACAATTTAGTACCCTCTGTTCATTTGTGAGCTTTATTCTACGTCTGTAATCATACTTACTTTACTATTCTAAACATAAGAGAAAAAAGTGCACAGAAGATTTCTTGGCAATCTTCTAATTCAAAGCACATATTAAACGATTTCACGTATGCTAAATTTTCCAAAAGGTAAAAATATCTTTTGAAAGCAGGATCTTTAGGATCTTTCAAGCCAGCCAATTGTTTAATTAAAAACAAGAATATCGTTTTAACCTACAACAATATAAAATTAATTTAATATCAGAGTGAACTTGAGGAAAAAATAAAAAATAACTTTTATTTACCTGTTCTGCATCTTTATATGGAGCTTCAGGGGCATAAACCCTTAGAACATCGGCGATACAACACGCAATTAGGAGTTGTACATCTTTACTTTGATGCATTAGAAAATGTTCTTCTGCCAAATGTAACGCAAGGGGTATATACTGTTGATACATTCCTTCGTCTTGTCCCATTGCTTGTAACGTGTGAGCTAATGTCTGTTTAAAGAATTTAATGTAAGATCTTTTTACTTGTTCATGTTATTATTGTTTTATTCATTGGAAATTATTCTTTTTCAAATATACCTTTAATCGTCTAATCAGTTCATCTGGACCCAGATCTTCCGTAACAGATCTGCACCCTTGCGGGTAAATTATTTCTGACATAGTGTTTAATGAATGGTACAACGAAATATGAGAAACTTTATGTCCTTAAAATAATCTAGAATACTGTCCAAATTCTGTAATGTTATACATTCCGTTATCAGTTATCCTTTATCTTCTACAATATTATTTTTAATCATTTACTCGATAAAAATATACTAATAACATAAGAAACATTATAATAAATTATTCCAAAGTACTTTTGAAACTTACATATTAACGCATATTTTAGAGTATATTATTAATACTTTATACACTGTCGGGCAAACAACTACACTACCAAATACGAAAATAAATCCTTATGCTACTATAGCAAAGAGTGAAATCTAACAAATGAATACCACATAAATAGAACAAAACAATAAGAATCAATGTTTATATTCATATTAGGTTAATAGCTTTCACAACTGTACACTATTGGAACTTCTGCATCAGTACGATAAACAGAAAATGGGAATTATTACATATGCATAACAAATACAAATCAAATAATATAAATATGACTTAAATTGACTCGGTAAAAGATCAAATTACACACTGATCTATTTAACTTTTGTTAGAATTTTGTATCGGTACTCCAAAGCAACATTATCGAGAAAAATATCGCGTAGGTTATGTCTACCGTTGGCGCATAAATACAAGAAAATGACGTAAACAGTACTACAATTTTAGACGCTTGGAAATATCAGCAATTTCAAAACGTACAATTCTAAATAAACGTAAGATGTTATATCTGTTAAAAGAATGGATTACCTCAAGATATGCATAGGCACCACAAGGCCTGTGACACTCGGAATATCAATAAAGCAAATATATGTGATGGATACACGGCACTAGCTTAGTTTTTCGAATTCACACACTATCGCGATGTAATTTATTACTAAGTGCGATTATGACGCCTTCGACGTAATTTTCTGAATCTTTTGTAAATATTTGGCATGGTAAACTGATCAAAGTATCATCAAAAATGTAGCGAAACAGTTTTCGTAAACGGTTAAGCGTGTCAAAGGACGCAACAGTGCAATTCGATCACTTGAAATCAACTACATTTCAGTATAGCGGGAGATACTTCAGACTTAAGTGGTTAAACAACACGACGTAAAAGTACTAAACGAAAGTAACGGTGATCCTATTGGTTCGATTAACATGGACAAACGTATGATTCACCAATAGTGCAACAATAGTATTACACGCGCAAAGATGGGCGAAACCCTAGGCTTCGAATAAATCTGAAGTTTGCCGATGTGTTTGTCTCGTTTCTTCCTCTGGGAAATGTTCGAAAGAGGAAAAGAAACAAACATATCGGCAGACTTCAGATTTATTTCGAAGCCTAGGATTTTGCCCATCTATGTTTTGGACTAATCCAAAACACTAAATCAAAAAGTCCCTAGATGCGTAGGGTAAATCATGATGTAATGATGAATTCTATCAAAGTTACACTACTGATAGACATTATTCAAAGAAAATATTTAGCTACATTCCAAATTAAACGAATTTTTAACTTACGCTGATAAAACATATCAATCAAACGTATCAATTTGAACTTTATAGACTGATAGTAACTAGAGCTGAGATTGTTTATATCAAATTCTTGTCTATATGAATGTTCACATAATTTAGCGATTCAAATAGTCGTCGAATATTATTTAAATATTTATTAATTCGAATATTTATTCGAATATCCATTTGAATAATATTTGATAAATATTTTATAAAACGTTTCACTTGAAAATTAAACTTTAATACCACGCATATGCACAAATTTTTTGTAAAATACTCTCTATAAATGGTAAATAGACTCAACCAAATTATATAAAAAAACATTTAAATTCATATTCTTTTATTTGTATAAAACTCATTCGAACATACTTGAATTACTGCTAACCGGAAGTCATGTTTCTTCGTACCCATTCGTACCCTTTCTGCTTGGCGCATGCAACGTATGCACGCACTGGTTCAGCGCTGATCAGTTTTATTTGAATAAAAATTGATTACCTCGACCAGGAAGACAGATAAACAATGGTGAGCATGTACTTTAATAACATTAATACATTCGACAAGTTTTTTCAGTAAATTTGCGCTAGAAATTGTACATTTTCTACAATGTATCGTGATTAGATAGGTTAGGTTGGACTGAAACACACGTTCACGATATTCACGCTATACAGGAAACATATTTTTAAATTCGTATCAATGTCATCCTTTTTTCAATAAAACGTTTATCAATTCTTATCTTAACATTTACTATAAATGGTAAATATTGTTTCAGGCGAGTACAAAAACTGATAACCCTGAAAAACCAGGACAAGAAGTAACTCCTATTCACAGAATTAGGATTACACTTACATCGCGTAATGTACGGTCTCTTGAAAAAGGTACAGGTGCTTGATAGGTCTTATTTAATATTGTTAAACAATGTCTACTAATACGTATGTTATCCTAGTTTGCTCGGAATTGATCAATGGAGCAAACAAACAGAAACTCAGAGTTAAGGGGCCAGTTCGCATGCCTACAAAAATATTGAGGATAACCACGCGCAAAACACCTTGCGGCGAAGGGTCAAAAACTTGGGATCGTTTCCAAATGCGTATCCACAAGAGAGTTATTGACTTGTATTCGCCATCAGAAATTGTGAAGCAAATTACAAGCATTTCTATCGAACCTGGTGTAGAAGTGGAAGTCACAATCGCTAACGAATAAAACATTTGTATAAAACTGTACAAAATTTTAATACAAACATGAGAAAGTACTAAAATTTGTATATATTTTATAAAAAGGTGTAAAATTCTTTAATGACATTCCTAAAAAATGGAAAGGAGGTATTCATTAATATGAAAAAAAATGTTCCACTAACAATAATCTGAATGTGATTAATCTGTTTATTTTATCAAGTTAATAGAAAATTATTTATAAATTATAATACATTGAGTTTTGTATATGAATTTGAAACATTCTGTGTAATGTCCAGCAATTCAATAGCATACTTCCGAAAGTATGGTTCTGGCTCAGAAATAATTCAGTTAATGAAAACCGCTTCATGGATTCTCTATATTTACTCTTCTCCTTGAGACTCTGTTCCAGATTTTTTATCTTCATCTTCACCTTCACCACCACTGAAACCATCCATTCCTTCTTCTTCTTCGTCATCGTCACCTGCAACCTCCGCATTTTCAAGTTCGGCTCGTTCCATTTGTCTTGCCAATTCTGCTTCATCTGTTGCAGTAACGACTTTTGGCTGTAAATTGAACATCCATATTGTATGTACAGTTTTTAACTCTTCGATATATTCTTACAGTACCGGTAAACATTTTAAATGAAGTAACTTACAGCCATTTGCACGTTGAATACACCACCGAGTGATGTTATTTTACTTCGTATAACGTCAATAGCATCGCTCAATGCTTTTAAGCCATCTTGCTTTTCCGGTGTAGATGTTGTCATAACTGAATCATAGGAGGAATAAAAATTTGATCAATTATGCTAACACCGACTCAAACTTCGTATTAAAATAAGTATGCAAATGGAAGAAATGGTGTACCATATAATGGAGGTGCAATTAAATTGATTTTAATTGGAAGTTCATCCGTAGAAAGAGCTAAACCAGTTTTTAAAGCAGCTTTAACGGCATCGATTCCTTCGTATCCGTAACAAGCGACTTCTACATCTGCTCGAATTTTCACTGCTTGAGAAGTTAATTTTCGTTTAATATTATTCAACAGTACTTCCTTTGTATGTTCATCAAGACCACACTCTGCTAAAATAGATGGATCCCTGAAGTAATAATGTTTTAATAACTATTATTATACAAATAACATTACCAATACTTTCAACAATTTGGACTTACGAAACTGATTGTTTAAAAAAATCATACGCAGATGCCTTCTGCTTTTTATATTTTTCTTCAAAGTGCCATGCAGTTTTTTGATATAATTCTTCCAACTGATCGTCGCTATCAAAATGCAACAATTCTGCAACGTGTCTTAGAATTGAGTTAACAGCTTTAGCTTTCGCATACCTCTCTGTACATTTTTCAACATCTTCAGCTGATACACGTCGTTTGCTAAGATCGATATAACCTAGATTAAATTATTTAATGCAATGTTAATAGATACCAAAGAGAATAATACGTTTGTATAAATTCTATATTTCTTTAAAAATGTTCGATACGACAAGTTCCTCTTACCTTTCTCTTTGTCAACTCGAATAACCACAACTGGCTCAGTCTTTCCAACTCTAATAAGTTTGTTAATTGATCTAATACGTCTTCTAGACAATTCAGAAAGAAGAATCATGCCTTCAATGTTATTGTACTCTAATAAATGTACATATGCTCCCATTTCAGCTATACTACGTACATTTACCATTACTACATCCTCCACTTCTGGATATTTTTCCTTATAAAACCGACACGAGAGTACCATTTTTGCTGTTGAAAAATTCCTCGTTACATATTTTTTTATATAGATATTTAAGAAACAAAAGGTTACTGTACAGGTTAGCTTTATGAATTCTTTAAATTATGTGACAGTACTATTTTTACAATTACCTCTATATGTATATCGTGCAAGGAATGACGAACTCTTTATTTACACTACCAAAATATAATTAAGACGGTAAAAATATAATGAATTATGTTAATAATCCATGTGCAATCTTGACTTAGATTTCAGTCAGATTTTAAGAAGGAGACATAATACTCAATGGGTGCTTTCACAGAAATGCTGAGGAGTGCACAAAGTGTAGCGTTGTGCACGACTCGATTGGAATAAAGCATGAAGACTGTAAAAGGAGATCCAACTCCCTATGAAAGTTACTAGAAAACTGTTAGCAAAATTGATTAGTGATCAGTTCTCCACCATTGTCTATTGAATGCACTCAATGCTGCCCGGTTCGGTGTGATAGGCCTCTTACAATATTACAAAGTATTAAAAATAATCTGTAATGCTGATAAACAATGTAGGCCCGTGGGCCGACCATGCATTTGAGTCGCTCATCTATCTACTCCGTGCTCGTAGGTCGAGAGAGTGGGGACAGAACCTAAGATTCTCGTTTTGACCGCGCGCTACGCACTCGCGTCAGATGCATCGTAACGTAACCACCGCAGCGTGCGTGCGTAGTAAACAGTTGACGTGTTTTGTACGCGATTCTCATATTATAATAAACAGTTTTATTTAACAGTACAGGTGCAACGGGTAAAAGTGTGGGGATTTTTAGAACAACAAATTTGGTAGCATCATCTAGCATCAGGAATTGACACTATTTGACTATAAACTTGGGCATTGTGCCATCAGAGGCGCCGGAGTTCACGTTTATCTTTTAGTTATATGAAGTAATGCATTAGTATTACATATACAGGGTGTCCCAAAAATGTTGTAACACCTTGAAAGAGGTGGTTCGGAAAGTGATTTGAAACAACTTTTTTCTTAGCGAAAATGTTGTCCGAGGCTTCGTTAAGGAGATATTAACGGAAAACGTCGACCAATCAGAGCGCGAGTGAGAGGCCGTCTAGCGCGTAGCCAACGCTCCACCGGCATACTCGCGATCTGATTGGTCAGGGTAGCGTAGGCTAATATCTCCTAAACGAAGCCTCGGACAACATTTTCGCTAAGGAAAAAGTTGTTTAAAATCACCTCCTGAACCACCCATTTCAAGGTGTTACAACATTTTTGGGACACCCTGTATATGATGTAATATGTATAGATAATTACACAGTACTTAATTATTATAGCGTTTGTACGTTATGTTAATGCTAAATTCACATGGACGGATTCTCAATGGTCGCCTTACGTCGTCTGGGGGTCGATTCTGTAAGTCTGTAACTTTCACGTGAGATGAAAGTGCGAGAAGTGAGTGAACTCACGTGAATGACAGAAAACCACTCACTGGTCGTCTGCATCGTTCATCGTAGTTTTGTTATGTTTATATTTTCAGAGGTTCGCACATTGAATGATGTTTTTCAATTATACTAAAAGTAAAGTTCAGTCTATATAGAATTAAATTATTTTACTAGACAAATTGAAAAAAGGAGAATTATTTGTTATTCTTTTATTCCAATGGATAATTATTAAAAGAATACGTCCACATTGTCTAATGTACGCAATTGTTTATACAAAATTACATGTTGTACGTTTTCCATGTTTTACATCATAATGAATATCTTCAAATAAACAAATCTTCCTCGTTCACGTCAAAATATGCCTACAGTTTGAAAAATACATCATGTTCTATTTCGTATCTATCCTATGGTAATTCCACGGTGTCTTATTGTATACGTATTATTTTAAATTCTTCAAAAATGTTTTTCTTTTAGCTAGTTGCTCTATAGTTCGTGTTTCAGTGTATTTAATAAGAATTTCGTTTTGCCCGTGCAGTGATAATGTCAACACAAGACACGTGTGAGGAAATAATTCGAGTAAAATTAGTTTTCCTAAAAAGCGTCGTAGTTCTTTGCTCGTCATTAGGAACCTTAAAATTATTTAACATGAGAATTTTTTAAATTATTTGTCATCGGTCAACAGGTATTCGTTCGGATTTATAGGTTACGTACAATGAGGTTAAGATACAAAGTAATCAATTCTCTAACAGAATTTAATAGAAATTATTAGAATCAAAATGTATATGTTACAGTTGTAATGTAATTTTTAATTTTCAAGCAATTAAGAGCCTTTCTTTTTTTTTTCCTTTGCAGGATAATCTATTGCAACAATTATTTTTGGGATGCAATTAATTAGATATCTTCACAAGTTCCTTAAAACTCATTCTCTGAAGAAAGTAAATTTCTGTACCCAAATGCCTAAGGATACATTTCAGATGAACAAGCTAATAGCAATGCGTCAAAAGAGAAAATTGAAAATGCTGCAACTTGCTAATTCTACCGTAAGAATAAAAGTAAGTATTCACTAATTGAAGAAACTAAAACATTTTTATCAAAGATTTACATACACCATAATGCTACTTACCTTGCACCTTGCAATAACTGCAATTAAGAACTTTATTAATAGATTCTAGGAAGCGGAGCACATGGAGCACCAAGGTCGATATTTGTTTCTACCGACCACATGAATTATATGTTTAATTGTGGAGAAGGAACACAGCGACTAGCCCATGAGCATCATTGTAAATTAACTAAATTAGGTAATATATTTATGACGAGAGCTTCTTGGAAAAACACTGGAGGGATCATAGGAATGCTTTTAACGATGCAAGAATGTGGTTTGCCTGAAGTAAATATTTTTAGTCCACACGGAGTACAACAATTAGTAGATGCGGTCAAACCATTCGTTACCTTACAAAACTTACAAATTTTGTATGCTTCCATGAACGAATCAGAACCCTACAAAGATAATGTCATGACTGTCTGGTTTGTTCCTATAACAATGGCATCACCAAATAGCAATGGAAGCTCCTCAAAGTTAGCTACTGAAACTCAATATTCTGTAAATACAAGTGGGAAAAGAGTTATCAATGAGACGGCAGAAGCAGGTGAAAATTATGTAAAAGGGAAGAAATCAAAGGTCAATGTAGATGTAATGTGTTACATTTGTAAAGTTCATCCCAAACGTGGGAAACTATCGGTAGAAAAATGTATGAATGTTGGTCTAGAACCTGGTCCATTGTTCAAATTATTAAAGGATGGAGAAAGTGTTACAACAAAAAGTGGAAAAGTTATTAATAGTAAGGATGTTTGTACGCCAAATGGTCCCAAATGTACCTTTGCAGGTATATTCAACATTGTTTATTTGAACAGATCTATTACCAATATAAATAGACTAAAGTTATTTGTTTAGGATATTCGCTTCTCTTAAAAGTAATGGCAATTAATGTTTTTGTAGAATTAGTAAACTTTACAGATTTTTGAACTGTGTTTATTGATCTTCCTTTCAGTTATAGAATGTCCTGAAGAAGGGTATTTAGATTCACTTACCAACCACACTAGCTTTTCAAAATATATGCAGCCAACATCAATACAGGAACAAGAAGAAGAAGAAGAAGAGTACTTTTATATGTTTCATTTTACCCCTGAAAAAATTTTGAATCATCCGCAATATGAAAAATGGATGGACAGCTTTCCACCGAATACGCAACATATAATTTTAAATGGCGAGAACAAATGCATGGGTAGCGAAGCTGTTTTTAAAAATCAGTATTTATTGCATATCCTGCATCGTGAAATATTTCCATTGTTAAACGAAGATTGTTTCAAAAAAGACAAAGAAGTAAGTCATTCGTGGGTAAACAATAAAATAAATTAAAATAATTTCTTGAAAATTTTAGGAAAATTTAAATAGTAAATATGTTATTTTAGACCAAGAATCCTAATATTTATCGTGCAAGAACAATGCAAGAATTTCAATTACAACCATCTATAAAACATACTACAGACAATCAAATTTACCCAAAACCAAAAGAGTATATCGAAGAAGTTTTTGAAATCAATGAATTTGGAGATGCTTTGGTGACACTGGAACAAAATATTAATAAAAAAACAGCAGAACTTGCCTTAACAGACAAATCCGTGTACCCACGAATTCTTATGTTAGGTACTGGTTCTAGTGTACCAAATAAAATTAGAAATACAAGTGGTATTCTTCTGAGAATCGATGAGACAAATAGCATCGTATTGGATTGCGGTGAAGGTACACTTGGTCAATTGATTAGGTTTTTTGGAAAATCGAATGTTGGTAGCATTTTACGTACTATTAAGGTACATAATCAATTAGAAATAAACAAATAATATTCTTATTAATTTTTTAAATAATTAATCTCGTTACTTTAATATAAGGGTTCACAATTAATTTTTTCAGGCTGTTTATATATCACATATGCACGCGGATCACCACTTAGGTGTCATTGGTTTATTACAAGAAAGAAAAAAATACACAAATGATCGTCTATTTTTACTAGGACCTTGTCTACTTGTAACATGGTTGAACATTTACGATACTGAATATGAACGAATTTCATGTTTGTTCACATTTGTGGATAATGGTGGTTTATACACACAAAGTCATAAATTGTCTCAATCACTTGAGAATGTGCTTTATGGGATATTAAACGTTAAAGATATAAGTACCACTTGCGTTAAACACTGTAAATTTGCATACGGTGTTGCCATTACACTTAAAGATGGCACAAAAATCGTTTATAGGTGAATTAGACGAAAATATCTTAAGAATATGTAAAACTGTAAAAACAATTTATTTACGTTATATTTTTATTTCAGTGGCGATACCATGCCTTCTAACAACCTTATAGATTTAGGTAATAATTGCGATCTATTAATTCACGAAGCTACAATGGATGATACACTTGTGGATTTAGCTAGATTGAAATTTCACTCGACAATTTCTGAAGCGATAAATGTTGGACGATCGATGAATGCAAAATTCACCTTACTGACTCATTTTAGTCAACGTTATTCTAAGATTACCATGATTTCGGAGGAAGAAAATGTCGGCCTGTCTTATGATTTCATGTATATTTCATTGTCTCAATTACCACTATTGCCATTTTTTTATCCATGCTTAAAACTCGTCTTTAATGAATATTACAAAGCATTAGAAACCCGTGTTACCGCCAGAAGGATGAAAATTGCATGAAATGTTGTACTATTCAAATAATATTACTTTGTTAATTAATAACAAATTTTAATTTATTTAGATCCAAAAATTATACTTTTTATAATGTGATACTGTTTTTTTATCTTTGAATAATTACATAATCGTCACTTAACGATAAAGGAATGCTAAATAGTGTTAAAAAAGAAGTAAATTGAGTCGTTAATAATAATTCATATCGAATAAGTTTTTGATAGCAGAATTTATTGCTTACATAATGCATTTAATTTATCCCGCTTTCCTCAATATGATAAATAATGTAAATTACAAATTGATTCGTTGAAATTACGATCTTAACGTTAACGTTGCTTATAATTAAAAAAAAAAAAAACAGTAAAGAGAAGGTACAGTATTCTATAAAAGATAAAAGACAACTAGAAAAATAACTTATCCCTTTTTGTCGAATCGAAACATCGGTACATTTCAGAAACATTGAAAAAATTCGACAAACGAAGGAAAAGTTTTCTATTGATAAGCTAATAGATAAGTTACACGCCCACAAAATCTGTATTAAATAATATGAAACTCACTATCAATTTTTTCTTAAAACGAACTATGCTGTAAAGATTATCAAAATGTTTTAAAAAATGTTTCGCTCTTTACATAGCTCGCGGAATGTGAATTTGTAATGTAGAAAAAAGCGTGGTCTCAAATTACACAGAGTAATTCAATTGTTATGTTGATTTAAAATTATGTACACTAGATAGCAAGTTTACACTAACGATGAATTTGTGCGTTTATGTCAATAGCATATGACTGAGTAATGAAAAGCAAATATGTTTATTTTATGGAATGATTAGTTTTCTTAACGGAAATACTATTTCGCTTATCGTCATAGCTCGTAAGTATGCTGTATAGTGTATGAACTTTTTCATAAATATTCGAGTAACAGAAGTAGCAATAATTATTAATAAAGACTAGAAAACTAAATTTTGTTAACACAAACATTCGGCCAGATTATTAGTATTTTTCGTGTTATTATGTTACAACCGCTATCATTTATACCACGATTCAAAATATAAGCGTATCTGAAAAATGTCAACAATATGATAAATAAATTGTTGTCATTAGTGCGTAAACAGCCAATCGGTTGAGCGTTATATATAAAAAAAATATAGTATTCCAAATTATATCAATTTACACGGCTAAGAAACGATTTGATTACTTTATCGTAAAGAAATAATAATAAAAAAAAAGAAAATTTCAATCTTGCATTACTTAAGGAACGGTGTGATAATCACTAATTACTCTGCAAATATCAGTCTTATAAAATATTTCATGAGTAGAAAAGGTCATTAGTTAAAAGTAATGTAAAAAATCGTAGAAAAGTCAATTCGACAACGTACTCCTAATTAAGTACTTGATAGGAGCTCTTCCTGTACTTATAAATATGATATTAGATTACATTCGAAGCTATAAAAAGGACATTGGATTTTAGCTGTGTTTTTTTAAAACTCTAATAGAATACTTTCCGTTTTAACGTTGCTTTCAATTAATTTTACTGATTTCTTATAGTTTTGTGTCACATAACATTTTTCGTTAAGTCTTATTTTGTGCACTTGGCCCTCTTTAAAAATTAATTCTTCTTTCCCTTCTTTATATGTTATGGTATGTATTATTTGTTTAAATATATGAAAATTGAATTAAATCCAAAAATAGTTTGAAAAAAACACAGCTATTACATGATGATTGGCTTTTTTAGAATTCCCATTTTGTAGCAGTTTCGTAATCCGTTTCTCCCAAACGCAATGCTCCATTTTTTCCTGCTGCAAGATATCTTCCATCAGTATGTTTAATGCAAATACGAGACGGTTCTCGCAATTCCAGATAAAAACCATCGGATGGAATATCAGAATCCACGTTTACTCCTTCACTGTCTGCGTGCCAATACTTGCCGTTTTGACCTGTAACACAAAATTATTTAAAACACATACTTCTAATTTGTTTACAATGCAAAAAATATTGCGTTGAAAAATCCATTAGAAGAATTGTTTACCTTTAAATCTAACGATTCCGCGCTCACATCTCTCCACTCTGATGGTTTCGTAGATAGCTTTATTGCATTCCAGTTTTGAGCTCGATGCACTTTTAGGTCCTACGAATCCTTGTTCACAACGCAAAACCAAAACAGGCCTATTCATCAAGTAAAAGTAGTATTTGCTAACATCTGAATCCCCTCCGTTTACAGAATCTGCATTGGCGTAGAGGTGCCCAGAGCGTTTGGTTGCCAAGAATTTGCCATTGTTAGCGCGTAAAGCTACTGTACCATCCTCCGATTGCCAAATCAAATCGAACAAAGCATTGGAAGAGCGCTTATGCTCCGATGCCTGAATTCCACCTCCAGCTTCAAGGCTCCAGTAACGATCTTGCATGGTACGTACATACCACCTTTTCGTTACACGATCAAACTCTAATTGGAACGTTTCGTGTCCAGAGATTTCATCCTGATTAGCTGTTACATCAACTCCTTGTTTAACAGAAACGTATCGTTGATTCAAGGCAGCAACAAACGAGGCCTGCGGTAGTGATTCTTCCAAAGAGAATAATTCATCTCGCGTTACTGTTGTCGATCTTGATTTTAGGACAGCCTTGCTTCCAATTGGGGCCAAATATGATCCATACAAGTCTCTGAGTGCAAGTAATCCAGCATGGAACTCAGCTGCATAGAGGCAGTCTCGTGTACAGGTATCCAAGAGTTTTCCATCGCGTGCTAGATATTTATTATTGCAAGTATGAAGAGCGTAATGTCCACCTTCAGACTTTGCATGTTCCTGTCCATTATCTTCCATAGAGATAGGACGAAATTCTAAAGTGAAGAGTGTATCCTCGCCCCAAGGAACTGGTGCATCCACGTGAATTTCATCTTGAGTTGCACTCAAATGAGCAAAACGTTTCCTTCCAGCAGATTTTAAATTTACCTAAAGAAAAATATATTAATTTATTTTAAGAGTCAGACAAATTCACAAGGGTGTAATATTCGCATGTTACAACTTTTAGGTAGACTGCTGAAGGGTTAATAATCGCATATAATTGTTAGAAATATTAATTACTTGAGGTCTAGCTGCAAGATGTACAAGCCAATATTCAGCTTCACCTGGAGCTTTGGCCATACATTTTAATTCATCCTGACTTGAACCTAGGAAATATCCTCTCTGGATGTTCTTCAAAGCCCACCTTCCGCTTCCTAAGTTAATCAAAGATGAATTAAATATTAAAAAATGGTTTATATATTGAATATATATTTCATATATTGATTATATATTTTCAAGTACCATCAGAAGCCAGTTGAATTTGGAAAGCACAACCAGGATCACTAGGATCCTCTGCTTCGCAAGTAACATTTCCGAACTGATCCACTGCTAAATAGCGATCCAAATGAGAGCGAAGAAAAACTTGTTGTTCACTGCCCTCCAGAGTCCATAACTGCTTCTTCTTTAAACTCGACCCATTTGCATTGATTTTAAATCCAAATGTTTCCGCAGTAAGGTACTTAAATTTTCCATTTATTAATCCCACCTAAAATATAAATAAATTATACTTAACAATGACAAAAGTACAAAATACAAAAATAGATGTAATGCTGAATTTAATTACATTGAAGTTCAGTCTTAAAGAAATTTAGTTTACTTATGATTATCTATTAGATTCATTTTATTCAAACATATAAACTTTTAATTTATGTTAAATGAATCATTTCAATAATTAATTATAATTGATTACTTTGAAGTATACACTTTTAATAAAGGTAAACCATTTCAATAATTAATTAAAATTAATTACTTTAAAGTATGCACTTTGGATAATTATAACAAACGTAATTACTATAATAATTCTCAAAAAAAAATGTAAATTACTATATTATATACATGGACTCATACAAAATGTAATTTAAAAAAAATTGAGGATTACCGTCCATCCCGTTTTCTCGTTTGCATTTTCGGAACCGACATTTTCAGATCCGTTGGTCTGCATCGTTTAGTTTAATTGATTGACGTTTAAGCGCGCGTGTGGTAAAAATCCTATAAATTGCTTCTGCAATTGCAATCAAGAATAAATCAGACATTACTATTTTTAGTATTTTCAGTCGTAGTCATTGATAATTACATTAAAAATAATTATTTGTAATTACATCAACATTTCCATTTTAATGTAAAAGAAAGACAAACACTCTTTTACCATTTTATTTATAGTAATGGATCGATGCAAATTTTATTACAATCTAAAATAATTATTTTTTTGTACATAGTTCGAGAAACATTCGTGAAAAGACAATAGGCATATTCCATATTTAGTAAAAATTACGATAAATTTTCAATATTTCAATATATACATTCGCTACATACTAAGTAATTATATAAAATAATAGGAAAATATTGTAATATTCCACATAAGAGATTTCGAGATCGAGGCATAGAGATTCAAGCTTAACAAAACCAGCCCATGAAAAATAGTTTACTGAACGCGTTCTTAAACTTTAAATAACGTTATTTTCGCCACGAGAATTTTTTCTTTCGTAGGGGATGATTTATTTCGAACTCTGAATTCGGTGACTCATTTCTACGTGACTTCCGTCTGGGTGGGGCCAACTTGTCTAATGGTAAAACAATACAAAAATCTTTCGATCTGTACGGAAGTTTTTCTGACTCTATAAAACTGAATTAAACTTCCATCCATTATACATTTATTTTTGTTCATTTCGGAAAAAATATTTTGTACATTTTCTCGCTTATACTTCAGATATTTCTTTTCTAATTCTTACTATAGTAATCTAAGCCATATTAATCTAGTTACTTTCGCGGTGTACGATTTCTAATCACCAGGACTTATAACACAAGACAAACAAAAATCGTACACTTCTTTCCGTTATTTTATTTACTTACTTAGCAGTTGATAAAATCAATAGAAAATCGTTCTTGGTGTATTATTAATTTGAAATTAATTTATCTCTATTCAGATGAATATAATGGGTAATTTATTAATTAAAATATTAAAATATTAAATACGAAAGTGTGAAGAATTTTTTAAATTATTCGATGCTTAATTTCGATTTGTCGATAAACAATAGAAAATGAATAACACTTTAAGGAAATCAGAATTTGAAAATAACTAGTTTAAAATTTGAAAATAACCATGTAGTTTTGTGACATTTTAAAACAAGCCACGGTAACTCAATCGATAACATCGAAGCTTTAAATTATAAACACGAGATATCACTGTACAAGGATAATCCGAATCAAGTTGAATATACGAAACAATAAAAAAACATTACGAGACCCAAGATTTACGGGAATCTAAAACCAAGCTCGGAAATTATAACTAAAGATACGATTTAATCAAGCCCGTATAATACACACTAAAGTAAGATAATTTTTCTATAAGGTTATAAAGTGCGGCTTATGTTAGCGAACAGAGCAATCGATAAGCGAGAGTACCATGTATCCGCGCAATTGAAATTGTGCACGAGTTTAACGAATAAATACGTCTATTCCCAGACGAAGTGATGGAAATCGTCGAGGGAAACTTAAGCTTCTGTTGCCAAGCAGTCGTACTAACTCACCGGATAAAGCGATTGAAAAGAAGATGTACGTACTTGTTGTAGAAGAACACAGGAAAAAAAGACAGGGAAAAGTAAGTAAGGAAAGTACGAGTCACGATCACCAAATTACGTTCGTCACAATAAAGATACCCGGCGACTGACTTAACTCGCTGGTTCTCTCCCGATTGTGTTAAGGATCCCACAGGACTTCCAACGCATGCGCATATCCGTACTCACCATAGTACCAGGAATGTACATAGAGTGGAATATTGGATAAGTTATTAGACGATTTTTTCATATGTTTATTATAACTGGCAATTCGATTAGCGTATCATAATTAGAGCGATTGGCTGCGCTAGAATGGAAATGATTACAGGTACAACGTTATGTCGTTGGATATTATAAAATGGATGAAATTATCTAGTGCGACGAATGAAGCAAGTTCTAGCACTATTCCTTGAAAGCACGGCACTGTGCAGGTCTGTCAGGATATCGCGCGTGCGCCGTTTTAATACGGGAAACAGAAAGAAACAACGGTGGGGAACAGCAGACAGGCATCGAACTGTCGACTTTGTGGAGGGCCGTGAACTGTGGATTGACCACCCTACTTTGTAATTACTCTTTTCCCGATAGCTTTGTACCGCATTTTCTTTCAATCTCCATGATTTTTATCTTTCACGAGTTCCATTTTCTTCTTTAATATTCGTTTGGCTCATTTTCAGGAGATTTCGAAATGCCGCTGCCATTTATTTCACAAAGGACATCCATAATTGGGCATCTGTTAAATATACAGGGTGTCCCAAAAATGTTGGAGGTCCTTGAAAGGGGAGATTCGAAGGGTGATTTGAAATAACTTTTTCCTTAGCGAAAATGTTGTACGAGGCTTCGTTGAGGATATATTAAGAGAAAACGTCGACCAATCAGAGCGCGTGGATACCGTTGGAGCGGCCGCGGTAGCGAAGGCTACGAGCTAAACGACCACGTCCAATGGCCTTCGATGCACGTTGAGTCACTTGTTCGCGTACGAGCGCGGCCGCTTAGCTCGTAGCCTTCGCTACCGCGGCCACTCCAACGGCATCCTCGCGCTCTGATTGGTCAGTGTTTTCCGTTAATATCTCCTTAACGAAGCCTCGGACAACATTTTCGCTAAGGAAAAAGTTGTTTCAAATCACCCCCTGAACCACCCCTTTCAAGGTGTTACAACATTTTTTGGACACCCTGTAGAATAAAGAATGCAACGGTATCCTAAGTAAATAATTTAATAGAAATAATGTTGCGATACTAGCACCTCGTATAACGTTCTAAATCGATAATTCTTTGTACAAAAATTTCCAAATAGTTCTCTAGCTCATTTGATAAAAAATCAAACTGTGTTTTGATAAATCTGTCAACTATAAAATAAGATTATATCAGATTCTTACGTAAAACGCGTGCATATCTGTATAGTTAAAAATTTAATCTTACTGGCATAGACAGTTTACAGTTAAACGGTGTACAGTTATTTTGTCCTACTTATGTTACGATAGAGTTTCTGCGATGATAATTAACTTTTTCGTTGCGCGAAAATTCACTAATTCGAAATAACAAACGGTATATAGTTCGTCCTTGATCGACTTATCGTTTTACATTTTTTTGTCGATATCTTGCTTCCTTGTTTTATCCCGCTCTTCTCATTGTATGTTAATTTTGTTTTAATGTAAACAACATTTGCAGACAAATACTTCTATATTTATTTTATTTCCCTCGAAACAGAAGACCATTCTAATTTTTAATAATTCCGTAAATTTCCTGAGCTTTACGAATGAAATTATCGTAAATTCTCGAAATATTAATTATACTTCTAGGACACTCATAGAAGTAAATTAGTCGATTATTAGTAGGACTCTATCGATGATTCGATTAATTAACAAAATATTAAAAAAAAAAAAGAAAGAACAAAATTGGCACTATTGTGATCAAAAGCGTGTACAAGTATTAAGAATTAATTCGTTTTAATGGCCTGGTCAGAATTTCATCCGATTTCGTTCAGGAAGTCTGGAACTTCCGAGCGTGTCTAACGAGAGGCTTACACTAATTTGTTTTTCTTTTTCTCGCAAATCGCGGACGCAGAACATTTAATTATAAATTTCTTTCTTTGCGAATTTCTTAAGCGTTCGCGGCACAGGTTCTTACAGGTGATACTGCATCAGCTTGTCATCTGACCCGCTTCATGATGCTATTGTAGCTGCAACGTTGACGAAACTTGGAAACATTATACTTTTCTTTGTGTCCAAAATAACGTATCAGACTTTTTATTGTATTGCACTTCTTTCACTTTAATTCTTTAATTCTTTCAGGTATGGAACCATGGTGGATGCAATAATTGCAAGTTTTAATTGATAAATATTTTTCTTAAATATGAAAATATAGTTTATGTTACTAAGTGTCTCCAAACAGAGGTTATAACAGTAATTGTCATACCATAGACATAACCTAACGGGTACCTTAATTTCAAACTTATATATTCCAAAGAAAATTATAATAACTAACGTATGAGAAATACTATTCTAATTATCCAACATGTCAAGTTTCATTACTATATTTACTAATTTGAGGAATCCGTAAGCATGTTATCGGAATTGTTTTAAATACGTTGTAAGTCACGTATGATACGTATTATTTTAAGATAAACAAACAACTCTCCGATCTTCGCCAGGAGCGAAAATTTGCTTTACGGTATAACCTAAATGCATCTAGCATCATCGTTAGGCGAACTGTAACTGATAGAAAGAAAAGAAGAACGAAAGGAGAAAAAGAGAAGGAACGAGAGAGTTCGTTGGCCGTCAAAGGGAAGTCAGAAGCATGACTGTAACCGTGCCTGTGATCGTGATCTGGACAGCAACCGTGATCGTGATTCGTAACCATGACCGACTTGCCTTTAAAATGCACTTTAGGAAATTGTGTGCATTGTACTACGATATTCTGTGATAACTAACGCGTATTACAGTACGCGTTTATATAATCATGTATAGGTCATTCCACCAACAATTTTTGACTTTTTCCTTTGAAGAATTTTGTTCACATTAAACTGTCTTGCAGTCTATGTGGCAATAAGGAAGACCTGAAATTATGATCAAATTTTATATCGTAGCTGTAACCTTTTTCAGATCCTCGTAGACGTTTCAAAATTCTTGCTTTCATCTTTATAATAGTTTAAACGTCCACTGTTAGGCAATGACACTTTATGTGCAACGCGAAAGTATCATTGCGAAGTAGTTTTACGTCTACGAGACTGAATGAGTATATTTTAGCAAATTCTAGTAGTAGATGATCTATCCATGTATGCGTCATACGTCAAAATGTAAAATCAAATGTAAAGTTGCATGCGACAAAATCTACTAAATGTTGGATGTTTTGATGTTGGTCATGTTTTGTTGAATGTTTAGATACTTCTCGAAAACAACGAAATAATCCGCGGGTACTTCCAACAGCTTCTTTTCTAAATAAATTTTTAGATAATTTGCGTAACAAATTCGTTAAATTCTATACGTGCTGTACATCACGGTGGGTTCAGTGCACGATCGTGCATGATGTGCATGATCATTGATGATAACCTGTGATGCCAGTGCTGCTTCCAGCTAGCACATGCGCGTTGAAAAACTTGAAAGCACAGTATTGTAGCTACAAGAAACGATGCGTAGTCCCAATTCTTTTATGCTTTTATTATTTCTTAGGGCGCCACTTCTGTGGTCATATTAGACACTATACTCTTACAGAAAACAGTGCGCATGCGTCAGTTGAAAGCAGCTCAGCATCACAGCCTTCGACTATACAGTACTATGTGGTTAAAGGTTCGCAGAAACTTCGAGATGACAACCGAATCGACATACAGGCTTAACAGGCTAGTATAGGTTGCTGCATGAAAGGGGCACTCCTGCACCTACGAGACGGCAACCGAATCGACCACCATGCCAGTATAGGTTGCCGCGTAACAGGGGCATCTCTGCGCATCTCTTCGCATATCATGTTCTCCTGATACAAAAGGTAAGTATTGAGATTCAATTAAAAGTTATGACACCTCTTCAAATATCATCTTCTCCTGATACAAAAGGTAAGTATCGAGATTAAATTAAAAGTTATGACACCTCTTCAAATATCATATTTTCCTGATACAAAAGGTAAGTTTCGAGCCAGAATTAAAAATTATGAATCCTCCTTGACCATCACGTTCTCCTGACGCAAAAGGTAAGTATTGAGATTCAATTAAAAGTTATGACAACTCTTAAGATATCATATTCTCCTGATACAAAAGGTAAGTATCGAGATTCAAATAAAAGTTATGACACCTCTTCGCATATCATGTTCTTCTGATACCAAAAGTAAAAATCAGGCCAAAATTTGATACGTACCAAAG